TTTGTTTTTGCTTTAAGTGCAAAGAAATTTTCATGCATGCTAATTTGCTGTGGTTATTAGATACTTTATGTGGCTCTTCTGAGAAACAAGCAGAAAGTATAGGAGCTTGTTTGTATAACAAAATTGTGTCTAGGCCAAATTAATGGAAGGATGTGGTATCACAGAGTACATTTGCATGTCAAACCTGGACTAACTCTTGAGCTAAATAGCTGTCATTTATCAAACAATATGGATAAAATTTGTCTTTTCTTTTTCCTGTGGCTTCTTCACAGAAGCTGTTGAAACTTGACACTTTCCTGTGCATAAATCCCAGCTGACTTTAAAGTTTCCAGTTATATGAGGTTTAATAAGGTTGTATCTGTTGAGCTGTCACTCCCAACCTAAAACCATGACCATCTGAGAAAGATCTAATTAATGGTATTAGTCTGAAACTTGTCAGGTTAATGTAGGGGCCAGAGGCAGGCACGAACTTTGGGACTGGAATCAAAGTTAGCATTTCTGAATGCTTATAGTTCATTGGAAGTAATCTTTAGTGCTATAAATTGACTTTCAGATCTTTGGGCAGCGTGGGTTATTTCTCTTCCCCATCTAGAGACAAATCATCAAATCACATCATCCGTGTGGTAAGTTTGATACACATGCCTCTTGAATTCTTCCTGGATTACAGCTACATAAAGCATCCAGTTTGTGAAAAATACTCGGCATCAGCCATCAACATTGAATATAACTAATGTACAGTTCAGTCTTGTGTTGAAGAGGGAGCTGAGCAATATTTAAATGCCATTTGACAGCCAATATATTGCACATTTGAGGTATGGTTTATGTACGAAGTAAAATCAAATTGTATTTTACCCACAGAGGGTTGAGCCATGTCCTAAACATCAGAAGCTTTTCTAACAAAATGAGACCTTCTCACCTTCCCTTTCTGTCTGCACATGCAGGGGGCTGAGAGGAGAACTGCCTGTGCCTTCTGCCACACTGCTGTTAGTAGCCACAGAATGATCTGCCCAAACCCTCATCACTTAAAAAAATGCCAGCAAGTTCTCCCTGAGCATCAACTGCTCTCTGAACACGTGAATTCAGAAGGGATTTTCACACACAGTTCTCAAGCAAGTAAAAATAAAGATAAAAACTTATCTTCCCAGACAGGGATAATAGTAGCGGCAGCAGCACAAGTAAATTGATTTTACCATCCATGGTGCTCAGGCTGTGGGTGGACATGTAACACATAACTCTTGCCTATGCCATAAGCTTACACCCTGTGCAGCACAGTGAACAGTTGCTGGATTTGCAGCAGTCCGATGCAAACCTTCCAGTGTAAACTAGGAGAACTCAGACATTTTGCCAGTGGTTCTTACTTCTTGGAAGCAAAATCATGAACTGACCTTCATTTCACAGTAACTTGACTGCTGCCCCCATGCATAGCATTCTGGGCTTTAGGCATTGCCACAGGATGCTTGTCACCCTTGGCTTCAGTGGATTTTTGGCTAACTGATCGAGCTTGGATCTTTCTCCAGATCTTACACCATAGTACAAGAGGCCCTTTTGAGTTGATTATTTCCTGCACTGAAGGGTATCTTGGGCTGAATTTCTATCATTGCTCCCTGTTTGCGGCCACATCCTTGTTTTGCAGCGTCATGTGGGCTTTGTTGGAACAGCTGCAGTGTCTCAAAACCTCACAGTCTGACCAGGGTTCAGCTTGTGGTTGGAATTTTGAAGGGCTTGAACTTGTCAAGCCATGCTGACCAGAGCAAAATAATCATTTGACATGAGGGAGACTTTTTTTTCCCTGCCAGAACTCTGACTTAGTGTTTAAAGCTATCAAACTGTCTGAGTCATCAAGCCAAGGTGAATCACTGTTTCATGGCATAAAATGCAACATGCAGAAGGTGCTTTGATTTTCAGTCCTTCTCAGGGCTTGAGGTATCTGTCAGAACAAAATGATGCAGTATATTCTGTTTATGTGTTGAAGCATCTACAGTGCACCAGCCCTCAGCTCATCTGCAACACTGTAAAATAATACTTTAAAGGATTGCTAGGACCCTGTGGACCCTGGCAGCTGCCCTGCAGCCAAATGTCTCTAAATTCTTTTATCAGTTACCCATCCAAAAATGGGAATGGTCTTTTGACACTTTACTTGTTCAGACCAGAGAAGCATTGCCTTTGCCCTTCTAACTGAGGAAGCAGGATTTCAGATGCTGCATAAAGGCAATGCTTTTCTTCCAGGAGTGTTTGTGTTTATGCTGGAGTTGCTACACAGACAGCTAAGAGATAAGAACTTGGGAAGCAAAATGATTCTCATAATCATATATAGAATCACAACAAGCAGGAAAGGAACTGTGTCCACAAGAAATCACCTGGTCTACCTCTTGTCTTATTGCAGGGCCAATCATCCCCATGCTATTCCTAAAAGATGTAAAATTTCTACCTACAGTCTTAGATGCCCTCCTGTTCTCACAGGCAATCCATTCCGGTGCTGTTCTTACCGTAAGGAAGTTTCCCAGGGCTGTTGGTGGTGCCTCCTGGATAAAGTTTAATCTCTTACTTCTTGTCCGATCCTTCAGAGACACCCAGAATTATGGTTTCTCTGCAGCAGCCCTCTGTATTCTTATATTTCACGCCCCCTTCTCTCCTTCAGACCACACAACCTCAGTTCTTCCAGCTGTTTTGGGAGAGCACAACTCCTAAACCTCAGTCATTTCTGCTATTTCCTACCATTCTTGTATTGCAGTGACCAAACCAGATGTAGAATGACTGTTGAAACCTTGTGATGGAAAGGATGTAAGCTCTTGCACTCTTTTTTGTACATCCTGATATAACTGCCTTTTTTTTTGGCAATGACAGAATGTTGCAGACTGATTTCAGCTCATGATTCCCTAACTCCTCCATAGAAGTGCCACTTCACCTGCTGTGCCCTATTCTAAATGGGAGCTCCTGATTATTCCTGATGAAGTGCAGCACCTTGTCCTCACCCTTATCAAATTTTATTCTGTTTTTGGACTTTTTTTTCAACTTGTCTGTATGATTTGCAATTCTAGTCTTCTCTCCTGGTGTTCCTTGTAACCTTCTAGGCTGGTGTGACATCTTAAGTAATCCCTTTGCTTACTGAATACCCAGGTGACTAACAAAATGCCAAATAACCCTTGGTCTGAGTCTTTCCAGACCCCATGGGACATGTTCCTCCTTGCTGACAGTGACCCACTGATAACTATGGGCAGTTACCCAGCCAGTTCTGTGGGCCCTGTAGCACTTTTGTTGCTTTTCTTCTCACAGTGATGTGTGACCTCACAGCAGAAATCTGCCTGAAGTTGATTAAGTTTGGCTTTTCCCTACCCACAAGGCCTTCATGCTTCTCAGTATTTGCATCACATTTTTTTTCTTGACTGTTCTGGTGTTATGCCTGTGTGCTCTTGCCACTCTATTATTCAAGTAATAGTAACCAGACCCAGATTCTTCTGTCTCTGTGCTTTCTTCTGAGTTCAGCAAAGGACTCATGACTGTATTAACAGCCAATGATTTAGCATTACATATTAGGCTGAGATTAACTTCCCTAATTTTGCCTTGTGTACCCATTACCATGATAATGGAGTTCTAACATTCAAGCACTTGCCTGCATCTTCTTTTGTGCAAACCTGTTTAACTCAGGCCTTTCTGGTTAGTGATTTTAACTGGGTGTATACATTCTCCTCTTTCGTTGCAAAGTTGTAATTTTCAGTAACATTTAGAAGTCAATACATGACTTTTTAGGGAGCTACCAGATGTCTGTCCTCGCTAATTGTCTTTCCAATAAATGTCTGGATATTTCTGATTATTTTGCAGGAAACCCTTCTTTTGTTAGCATGTGATAATTAGTTATAGACTAGATAAAAAGAGGAAATGAATAATAAATATTTCTAGCAGCCCTCTAGGATTCACTATAACTTCTTCAGACAGCAAATTGACTCCTGTGATTCTGTTGGAATTTTCTCTTCAAATTTATAGTAATATCATTTGGTCATAGAGGTATGCATTAGTGAATGTAATAGCAAAGGAAGTCATTCTAGTACTTTCCTTCTCTCTCCTTCAACTTTGCTGGAGGTGATAGAACAACACGGATTTCTGGAAGTTATCACAGACACTGGCTCTTTGCTCTGTGAGTTGAGAAATGCATCTTGGACCACACACCTGTGCTAACAAGAGGTGTTGGGAATGTTTTTCATGCTTCTTAAGGATCATGGCATTTGAGGCAAAAACTGGATGGACTCTGCAAGTGCAAGGTCTGATTATTTTAAGTTGGCACCAAGCAATTGAAAAAAGGACATTGTTTTAAGCTTAGTGGTGTGTTCTAATACAGAAGTAGCACCTTCTGCCCCATTAGATTGTGGATAGAGAGGGCCCTACTGCAGATTCCCCCACTGCTACAAGTGGGAGCAAGTTCAGTGTTGTTTGGATGGCAGTGGTCCAATTCAGCAAGTACTCCTTCTGTGGTGCTATCACAGTGTTAAGCCTGGATAGTGGGTGGCTGAGCAGTCAGAAAACAAGACTAAGTCTCATCCGCTAACAAAGAAGCTTTATTGCAAGTGTACACAACTAAGCAAAACTAAGCTGTGGTATTTAGCCCGTAATTACAGAATATTGCGAAACGATGTGTAGGTATCCTTGGAGTCTTGGCATCCTGGGAATGCAATGTTTCAGGACATTCAGATTCCCTTTGTTCAAATTTTTCTCAAGTTCTTTGTTCTGATCCTCTTTTATGCTTTCCACAGTTAAGATGGGAAAAACCTCTGTTTAGTAATTCTGAGGTTGCTTTCCTTCCCCAAGATGTCGCATTTGTTTCTTTATCTCACTGTGGGTTGTGTTGATTGTCCCACTTACCTACTGAAAAGACCAAGCATCTATGGAAATTATTTTATGTAATCTTTGGGACTATAGAAAAGACTAGGTTGGTACCTTGAAAAAAATATTAGGATAAACAATGCTTCCCACATTAACAAAGACCATTGCACATATAGGAAATTGCTTTCTGTCCCCCTCTTTAAGCTCATGTATGAAGAGTGTGATATGGCCCACAGGACCAAAATGAATGTATGTGCTAAAAACACATATGCCACAGTAAATGGAAGTGTAAGGTTTGGATTTTGTGCCAGAATTTCCATTTGGTGTTATTTAAAACTGCAGATCAAGGCTAGACTATGTGACCTGCCCTAGATGAGTATACAGTCAAACTGTACAATGTTGTTCCATTACATCCTGGTTCTTGTGGAGCTGCTCATTTAGCAGGCATCTGAAGCCTGTGAAAAGACCGACAGTGTTAAACTGGGCCATCTCACACAGTCTCACCCCAGGCACCCAATTCCAGAGCTTGGACTGGCAGTCTTGTCTTCTTACAATGCCAGTGGAGACATTTTGGTGGACACACATGCCTTGAATCACCTTATGAAGACTTCAGTGACTGAGAACAACATTTGGACCTTCTACATAAGGCAGCTTGAGACACCGCCAGCAGTCACTGCATCTTTTTTCTACCAAGCAAACTTCTGAGTTTCCTTCTTATTTGTAATCTCTGGGAACAAAATCTCACTTTAAGCAACTTACAGTTAAAGCAAAGGATGGGAGCTGCATGGTTCAGCACAGTCCCTTCAAGAATAAAAGCAGCCAACCCAAACATTGCCCAAGAGTCTCTGATGTGGACGGCAGCATCTGGTGTCCACTGAGGAGAGGAGGTGGCCTTGGAAGGGGTGGAGGCAGAAGAGAACAGCAGTGACCATCCACAGCATTGTGGTCCCTTTAAATCTTCTCCACTTAGCAGCTCCAATTTTTCTGTGTTGCTATAGCAAATCTCCATGGCAATGACCCTAATCGGGGAAGGGGGGATGCAGGGGGACGCATGCTCAGAGTGAATGCTGGAGTCTCGCCTGCTTGTTTCAGCCGCTCCACGGGTGAAGAGAAAGCTCAGGTACTGGGCAAACTGGTCCTTTGGGAGCATCGCAGCCCACACCACAGTGATGCATGCATGTGGCTTTGCGTGTACCTGCAGTTCTTCGCATATTACACTTCATCTCCTTCTTTGTAGGGAGCAAACTGCTGATTTTCACTCTTTCTCCTCATTCCAGGCTGGGAAGAGAGCTTGAATTACTGACGCGAGCGATGGCGCTGCCGTCTGCCTGGAGTGCGATGCGCGTGGTGATCCCGCTCATCTCGGTGCTGGGCCTGCTAAGCGTGAGGCTTGTGGGGGCCAGCCAGGACTCGGGGAGTGTCATTCCTGCCGAAAGTACGTACTGCCGTGCTGCACTCATGCCCCGCTGCACGCGTCCTGCTTTGTGCCCTCCTCTTGCCCCTGCAGCCACGCAGACGGCTCCGGGGGCACCTTGCTGACTGGCTCAGGCACACCTTGGAGCTGGGAGCTCTTGGCTTTGGATCACAGCTCTGTATTAATTTCTTCTATCATTTTGAGCGAGTCTCTTGTTTAACTTCCTCAGCTCTAAAATGAGACGATAGTTGGAAGACACTACGGAATGGTGTCAGTATTCTCAGGGTGTTTTGGTCAGGTAGTTTGAAGTAGCTGCTCACTGAAAGCTTAAATACCCTCTGTGAGATCTTTTATTGTTAAAAATGGGGAATTTAATTGCATACAAACCAGTCTTTAGTTCTTAGCCTCGCTTTGTATCACAGCTTTACAGTTTTACTTTACTACTCAAATACTTAGAATGAGATCTGAATTAGTCACTGCATTCTCCTCAATTGCATTTTTAATTTTTAAATACACCCATGACTTCCTCCACAGGATTTGAGTGCTGAATTCTCTTCTTTATTCATTCTCCTGTTGTTTTGTTTTTTTTTTATTAGTGATAAGTGTTGGTTTGTTCTAAAAGAGGCCTCACCTCTATCTTGCATCTGTTTTCCAGGCATGCATTGCATTCATTAACTTTAATTTTGTGGTGAGTGGTCTGTGTTGTCTACTCAAGGAGAATACCAGGCTTAGAAAATAAATTCTATGTGACTTCTGTGTGTTTATGATAACAGAGGTAACTCAACACATCTTGGAGGAAAAGTACGTGATGATTCCTTGTTCCTCTTGTGTAGCGGAAACTCCCATTTTATCTGCAGAACAAACACTTGGCCACTGCCTCCAAATAAGGTCTAATCTTTCTGATGTCCTCTGACCAGGCTACTAAGTCCCCTGAGGAGCCCTTGAGAAAGATTCCTTGTTTTGTTTTGCTCTTGCATGTGAGAATGAGGAATGGAGGACACTTTCTGCAGAGACACGCTGCTCTGCCCTGAATCACACAGGCTGGCAGCACTGCTGTGAATGCACAAATGTTGTTTATGTCTGAGTCCAGGCTGGGAGGAAGGCTCCTGACTCATCATGAATTATGAATTTCCTTGCTGCTGCAGGAACAGTGTTTTAAAGCAACAAGGAGCTTGCAATGCTCCTCATCAGCCAGTAGTTGACAAAATGCTGCACAATTGCTCTGTGCTCCAGGTACCCTTCTTTGCCCATCAGTGCCAGCTGCTCTCAAAGCCTGGAAATGCTCCTAGACATAAAATAAGACACAGTGCTTGGAGTTCAGGACACTGGGCCAGTCAGAGCTTTGATGTGATCTAGTACAGACATTCCTGAATTTTTCCCTGCTTGCTGTCAGCTCCATAGGCTGTTTCTCATTGAAGTCTCCGTCCTCCTGGGCACTGACCCATTTTGGGGACAGTGCTGCTGATATGCTTAAGTCCATGTTATCTTCTCAGTGCTGTAGAGATCTTGTGCTACTGTGTGACACTGATCTCTGGCCTGGGGTGCCAGTGCTATGCTCCACTTTGCTTTTTCTCTGCCAGTCAAGAGAGCCAGAGTCTCTTTCTGAACAATGTTGATTAGGAGTGATTAATTAAGTCCTTATGCTTTATACACACTACTTTGCATTTACAAAGACTGTTCAAGTATGAAGTACTATTGCTAATACTTTCAATACTTTTTTCTTTAAAGTTCAGAGCAATCCACTAAAAATAATTAAGCAACTTCCCCAAGCTACCATTGCATTTCCAGTCCAGATTGCCCATTGTGAAGGCTGAAATGTGGAACTGAAGAAAGAAGCTGGTCAGTCTGGTTGCATTAGCCAAGGTGCAAGAAATACAAAGAATAAATGCCATGTGTGTGCAAGGAAAAGTAAATTATACTTCCACAGTAATTTCAGCTCCAGTTTTTCACCAAGAAGAAGCCAAGAAGCATATTTTAAGCTCTCCTCCCCCACTTCTCCCCAAACACACAAAGGCAGACAAGTCTTCATGCTGACAGGATCCATTTAAAGAATTATAGCTGACTCTTGATAATTCTCATTATGTTAATCCACAAACCTGTTAAGTCTTCCTATGAATGATAGCCTGTTCCCAGCTGTCAGCAAGGAATTAATAGCACTCTGCTGTATTTTGCTATGATGGCACTTAAGGTTTGGTTCCACAATTCCTTTAAGCTGATGTAAGCCTGTGCTGCTTCTGCCCTGCTCACCAGAACTTTCTCCCTTGTCCTCGTTCTGGCCCCAGGGCTTCTGCATTCAGGAGCTGGTTTGGAGAAAAACTAATCAGCAATTCAGCTGACCAAGCAACTGCATGGTCTCTGCTGCTGTGAGCAAGGGAAAGTGTGGGAACACACAGCCGAGGACAGACAGCAGAATGTACTTAGATTTGCTTAACCCCCTTGTGCAACCAGACGGAGTTAGTTTGAGGAAATGTTCACAAGAATCTTAGTGAAAATGTAGTGAGCATAAGGAGAGGATGAGCCCAGCTAGGTAGAGCAGCTTGCAGGTCAGCCGTTCAGTCTGGAAGGGTGACACTGAGGCAGGCAGTGATGGAGATCAGCGAAGTCAGAAGTGGGGCAAAGATAGTGATTATGTAATAAATGTCTCTTCCACTGCAGAAATTGGAGGCATAAAGTGGCACAAGTAGAAGTTAACTTCAGAGCCTGCAAGATTGACAGTTTGCTCACAGAGCGAGCTGCTGCGCTGTGGAACTCATTGCCAAAGCATGCTGCAGATGCTGAAAGTTCCCATGAATTCAAGAAGCAGTGTGTCAAATTAATGTGAGAAAAATCCATGGATGACTTCTCAGGTCCAGGTCTCGGGATGTCCCTTTTCACATCTCTTGGCAGCCTGAAATAACACTGCTGGAGCTTTAATCCAGAGGTTTGATCACAGAAGCGGAGTTGTAGGGGTTGGAAGGAACCTCTGGAGATCATCTAGTCCAACAATCCTGCTAAAGCAGTTTCCCTTACAGTAGGTTATACCCCAACCTATCCCATCCTGTTCCATCCAAGCCAACCCCACTATTACTCTCATTGAGAGTTTTTACATCAGTTCCCTGCTTGAAGTAACGCTGGACCATGTATGGCCACCACTGTGAACTTGGGGGATTATTTATTAATTATTGTAGTTATTTTAATTAATTCCCATCTCTGGGAGTACCACAGGCTACTTTTAGCCCTTTCAGACTCCAGGAGTAGACCCCATGATGAGCACATCCACTTGATCTTATATATTACCAAAATATCTGATATTGTCTTCTGCAAGAACCTAGCTATTATGATAGTTTAAAAGCGCAGCCAGAGTCAGGGTTTGGGTGTTTCTGCTGATAAAAATCAGACTGTAGCTGTAAAATTGTCAGACAGTGGGGATTTGCTGCCCCTGTTTAATTTGGGGAACAGCATTCAGGTTGTTCCGTGCTAAGTGCAAGAAGTTCAATGATGAGTTCAACAATGCCTTGACTTCCAAAGCTCTACTCAGATGTGTGCTCTGCAGGGCTGCATGAGTGGAAGATTCACAGCCAGCTGCCTTCCTGGCTGTTCTCCTCCCAGTTACAGCTGTCTCCTCGTCTGCAGTGATGCTGCTTCAGTGAGCCCTCTTTGTGCCCCCATAAGTCAAAGTGACAGGTCAGTTTGAATAGCTGGATGTTGTCATCCTGGGATGTCGCAGTATCATATTGCTCATATCCCAAGCTGGAAGAGACCCACAAGGATCACTGAGTGCAGCTCCTGTTTCCACATGCAATATGGTGACAGTCACTTCAGGGCAGGCAAGTAGGCCAGGGCAGGCTGCTTTCTGAGAACAGCACTGCAATGGGAAGGAGTTGGCCATGGCCACAAGTGAATGGCAGGTTTGCCAACAACACACTGAGTGTTCAGGTTCTTCCTCCATCTCAGAAGTGAGAACAGTTTGACTGTTGAAATACTGATAACAGGCTGCAGGGCGCTCTGTAGCCATCTCAGCAACAGCTTTGCACTCACTTTGCTTTGTCGGAGCAGCACAAGTGGCTGCCTGAGGACAAAGATTTTAGCATTTCCCCCCACACACAGTCAGAGCTCTGTGGTCAATGTAAAATTTCATCTCTCTCCATTCCCCATACATCTCCTCCAGTATCTGCAATTTCTTCCTTTGAAAGCATGTATTCCATTTACTCTGTAACTAAAGGGCACAGGATCAGTGCAGGATGAATCCTGGCAGAGCAGAAATGCCCAGGCCCAGCAGTGAGCCAGGAGGCTGTTGGCACATCCCTTCCTCTTCCTTTCTCTGCCTTCCCCCTGACTCACCCCTCTGTGCATGCATGCACATTGGCACCAGCTGCAGAGCCAGTAGGACGCTTTGCATTACTGGCAGAGAAAAAACAGAGCAGCAGGTGAAGGAAGCAAATACAGATCTGGTGCTGACCCTTGCCAAGCTGTTCTTGTAAGATCTTGCTCTTGTAAAAACAGAGCTGGCTGTCTGATTCTTGATCCACTGCAACTGCTATTTGCAGCCAATCTGTGGAGAATTAACCCACCTGTGGGAAGGAACAGGGGATTTCCATTTCAAAGAGAGAGGATGGGGGCTGAAGGCATTCAGCATCAGGCAGAACGAAGCTTAGGCTGTATTCAGAAAAGGCCACACAGCAAAGCACTCTCATGCTTTACTGGTCCCCACTCAAGAAGTGAGCACTTGCACAGAGATGGGTAGAGCCCTGGCATAGGCAGCCCTAACTTTGCACAGATGCAGGTGTGGGTCCTGGTAAAATGGGTTTTCTCCTGGCATTACAAGGTCTCTGAATGTTCCCTCATTACTGCTACATTCCGGATTTCATGCTGTGACAGTGATGTCTTTTTTTCTGTTCCTTTTTCCAGGCCGTCCCTGCGTTGACTGCCATGCGTTTGAGTTCATGCAGAGGGCGTTGCAGGATTTAAAGAAGATGGCGTATAACCTAGACACACGGGTATGTGCTTCTGTAGAAAAACTTTTCTTTAGCCTTTGTCTCCGAGCGGCAAGGTCTGCCTGTCTGCACGCAGCAGACATCTCTGCTGACTCACTTTCCTTCCAGCAAATAGGATCGTACCAAGTGCAGATTATTTTCCACCCGGTTGGAGAGCTTCAGTAGCCTGACTCCTTGCATAACAGGCTAAAGAATTACCCCAGACAATTCATGCATAAAATAAAGAAGAAAAGAAGATATGTGCAGGAGAAAAGGATGAGAAAGAAGGTTTATTCTCTGTCTCATAACACTGCTTTTGAACAGTGGATTCATCACTCTATGGGCAGGAGCAGCAGATGAATGGAATAGCAAGAAGGTGGCAAGCAGGGCTGGCAGAGAGGAAAGGCAGGCCTGTATAATCCTTGTTCGTATTTTGATACTTTCCAAGAAGAAGGGGGGAAGCATATTTGCTTGGGCAGTTTTCACAGCAGACAGGGCATTTTGCAGACTCACCTGCCTGTCTTGTGCTGCAGAGGTCCCAGAGAACAAAGCACAAGGGTGTAATAAAATGCCCTGATTTTGGCATTGCCTAGATATGTGGGTTGGTAAATATACATGGATATTGGCTGGGGTAGGGCTTAATAAAGCTCACAAATAATTCCATGCTGTCTGAAGTTTGAAAGGAGCAGGAGGGTGCACAGAGCATCCTGGTGGAGCTGTAGGAGTCCCTGTTCATAGCAGGAGTGTTGGAGTAGATGAAGTGTAACTCAAATAATTATATGATTCTATGATAAAGCCCATTCGTATGCTTTGCAGTACCTCTGCTTTCCTAACAGTTCCATAACGTTGGCAACATGGCAGATTTTTAAGTGCAGTCAGACTGGAGCCCCATCTGTGTCTCCTATGGGTGGCTGCTTTTGGCCAGTGCTATCTTCATTGGTGGGTGGGAGGGGCTCCTTTGTCCTTCAGAGCCGCACTCTGCTCAAACTGTCATTAGCAACAGTCAGCCACAGAGAGTTAAATCAATTGTGTCTCAAGCTGTAACACTTAAGGGCAATTATGTTGCTTTGCCTTTGGTTTCTTGTGACCTTGGGCAATCATGTAGGGCCCCAGACGAAGAAGGTAAAGTCACTTCAGCTTTCATGAGCTATCAGTGGCGAACTGATTAGGCCAGAGATCTGTGTGCAGCATAGGTTACATTGCAGAAGTTTCTCATGCACTAGCCTAGAACTCAACAACCGGTAGGCAGCAGAATGCAGATAGCAGAGCTGCACCCCTGCAGCTGGGCTGGGACTGCTCTGGTGCACAGCTGGGCACCTGTTTGGATTAGATGCATCTGAAACGTTTTGTGCCTATGCATGACTGTAGGAAGGAGTACCGAGACTCCAAACACCTTTCTGGAAGAGGCGCTTCATTTAAATACAAATTATTAAATGATGCAGTTACAAAAGTGAAAGGCCGTGGCCAAACACCTACAGATGATCCTCCGTTCTCAGAAAGGTACAGCCTTCGTACCTGCACTTTACTGCTAGTGCTTGGCTGATACTGACTGACCCAACTCTATTTTCTCATGTTTTACACACGAATAACTTCACTGAACAACTCCTTGAGTCTTTAAAATTCTTGCTCTAAGGGCAAACCCCATGGAGGACTGATCAGTCAGGGACTTCCTGGCCACTGCCAACATGGCCACAGTTAATTTTGGTGAGAGACGCTTCTCTCTCAAAGTCTTTTACTTTATATTGGAGTGGTCCCAGAGTTGCTCTTCCTTCCTGTAGATAGTCATGAGTGCTGCCTCAGCAGAGTTTGTGGTAACACTGACAGCTTGTTGGCATTACAATGAAAACCAATAAGCCAGTGTGATGTTAAGATGATTCTGTGATTTCTACTGGGCTCCCAACAATGGGAGCATTCACTCATCCAGGATTGCATTGTATAACCAAGAAGCAGTTCTTCTTGAGTGTACAATAATAATGCTTGCCATTGCACTAAGCTACTAAGTGAAAGCAGACAAGGAATGTCAGCAAGTCCTCTTTAATGCAAAGGTAGATGTCAAAAGTTTAGGTTGAAAAGAATAAAATGAGGGAATGAAAACGCATCTCTCAAACATGCTCTGCCTGCAAAGCTTGCATTGTGAGAGCAAGAAGTGAGCAGCAGAGTGGAAATGGCTGGGGACAGAGGCACTGGGCTGGTGGGCAGGGAGTCTGGGCTTGGCAGAGCAGATCCTTGGGTAGAAGCCCCCAGCTACTTCTATGGGAACTACTGGGTATCTTTATTAATTTGGCCTCAGCTGGTTTTAATTTGTCAGGAAGCATCATGTAAGAGGAACACCAGCTAAAGAATTTGTGTTTCACATAACTTTCTGATCTTTCATTAACAAGAAATCTCCGAGGTTTAGTGTTTTTATTTGTTTGGTTGCTTTTTTCCCCCCGTACAAATAGGAAATCCATTTATGTTGAATTTAAGCCTGGAAAGGCTTAAGGATTTTTCTTTTCCCCAAGAAACTTTTCAGAGTTAGTCTACAAACTACTTAAGGGACCATAGACCACAGGTTGAAAACTACAGATTTATGCTCAGGAAAACATTTATCTTCAGTCATGATTACACTTAGAATCATAGAATCATAAAATCATTAAGGTTGGGAAAGACCTCTAAGATTATCTAGTCCAACCATCCACTTACCACCAATACTGCCCTGTGAACTATGTTCTAAGTACCATATCTACATATTTCTTGAGCACAGTCAGGAGGAGAGACTCCACTACCTCCCTGGGCAGCCCATTGTTGCTATTGTGTTGAGTCTGTCAGGAGATTCCGCTTCTGAAATTACAGTAGTGTTTGGGAAGTACAGTCTTTGTTTCCCAAAAAAGTGAGACCAAGGCCAACAAAAGATCTAAGCTGTAATTATACGTGATACTTACATATCTTTGAGAATCTGAAATTATTATTTTTCCTGGAGTACAGAGAAACAAAAGCTTGGAAATGATTTTCTACCAAGACACTCCAAAGCCAAGAATAAATAACTTCAAGTGATTTGTACAGAGAATGGTTTGTAAGCTTTTGATGGGGTTCTAGAGGCACGGCTTCAAATGGAGCTGGTAATAAGGCAACTGCCAGTGAACCACCTCAGGCTGAAATACGAGCCACAAGCTCAAGTCCAAATCTGCCCTAAAAAGTGGTGAGTTTCAGACCACGTGGTTAGACTGACAGCTGGATTGAACCCAGTGGAGAAACAGCAGTGTAACAGAGAGCATAACCTGCCCCTTAGCACGTGCTATCTGGCACAATTAAATTACACTGCTCTGAAGGCTTCATCAACAGGAAGCCATCAATCACTGGGAAGGAACTAAGAGCAGTGCAGCTGAAAGTGGAATTTTGCTCAGTATTTAGAAAGGACATTTTAATAATATTGACAGCTCTGTCCCTGCAAGTTAACTATGGAAATGAAAACATTTGGATGACAAAAATACTCTCCATGCCTCTTGATTCTGAATATGCTTATTTTGTGTTGCTTTTTCTGGATGGAAACCAACTCTAATAACCATGATTTTTCACTCAGCAAAGCACCTTGACTACAGCTGCGTAGAGGAATTAGGTCAATCAATTTTATACTCATACCTTTTTAAAGTGCTTTTTTTCAGTTTCTTTCTCCCTTTCTTTTTTTTTTTTCCTGCAGACAGAAACACTCCTCCTGAAAGCAGAGAAGAGAGGCCTGTGTGACTGCTTTCCTGCAATGCACTGAAATGAGTGCTGGGATTAGGCCAATGGACATGTATTATGTATTCATTTTTAAAACACTGCTGAATAAATTACAGGAAGATATGGAGTGCTGCACAGCAAGAAAACAATTTTTATCCAAACAGGTACAGCCCAGCTAGGTAATTTTTCCTTTGATGTGCTTTATCAGTACTGTATGTGATATTGCATCTGCTGAAATGTCAAAAGAAGAAGCAGTGTTAGTGGCTCATTCCTGGGATTTGTGTAGGGACAGCATCTCTCTTTCCTGCTATCTCAAGCCAAAAATTGTCCTTAGGCTCTCAGGCCAACCCCTCAGCTTATGTAAATTGCCACAGATCTGTCAAAGTGTAAGTGGAGTCAAATTCTTTTAAATATTTATGTTACAAGTGTGTCCCTAAAAAGAAAATGAAGCTGCTTTGCAGTGATGCTTCACTGTAAATTTGCAAACAAGCAGTCGTGATTTTGTATAGAAATTAGTAGTTGTCACTGCCTGCCTGGCAGCACACAGAAAGTATTTGTTCCCAATTGTATCAATAATCCAGTGCACAGCAAACAGTAATCTGTACCCAGCGTTTGTTTCTTCAGAGCCACACAGTAGCTGTGATCTTTTTGGAGGGATTTATTAAGTATCTAATGCGATCGCTAACGTTTATAATCACATGAATGCTGCCTGGCAATAGAACTGATTGTGTCTGCCAAAATCTTCTGGAGAAGTGTCTTTCATTAAGCAAATCACAGCCTGGGCTGAGCCACGCTCACTGGCCGCTCCAGCAGGTTTGGCAGAACGCCGGCACAACGCCCGCGCAGCCAGGAGCCTCCTGCAAATTCTGTGTTTCAAATATTTGGGTTCCAGCAAAATGGTCCACAGCTCTTGCATGGACTCACGCGGGGAGGAATTTCGCTCCACAGTGATGGGTTACAGCACTGATGCTATTAATATTCCCTCTGCAGTCAGTGGGAAATGGGAGGACACAATGGTTCAGGCAGTGTAGCAGTAGGAGACAAGATTGCACCTTGTTACACTTTGAAAAACAGTGGCACGTCCTTTCCCCTTGTTTTCCTTTTTTTTTTTCTTCCTTTTTTTGGGGTGGGCGGGAGGGGGAAAATGGAAGATTCCCCCAATGGAAAGTTATTGCATAGAGTAACAGATTTTCATAGAACTTCCCCAAAGCGTGATGAATGGAAATGTGGAGATCAGCTAGAGCATCTATGTATAAATTTGAAATTTTATGCAAGCAAGGCTGTGGGAGCAGTATCAACAACAGTGGTTCTCAAAGTTATTTTGTCAGCCCTTATCAAAACGCCCATTTCTCTACAAGCAGCTGATATTCTGCTGTTGGGCTGCTCAGTGAGCTGTGATGGTAGATAGTAAACTCTGTTTCCAAGCCTCTTCTCTCCTATTTTATTCCACCACTGCAGGCACAGGGAACTATGACCCACTGCCAAAATATTTTGTGTGCAGTCACAGTCAGTAATATGCAGTATTGGAATACACTCTGGCAAAGTAACTTGAAAGGCTGCTGGTTCTCAGTAAGGAAAAGCATCCTTCCACCTTCATTTTAAGTAGGAATTTTGTTGTCCTTTGTAGTATTCCAGAAAAACCCTTTATAAAATCCTCAGGACCCAGTTTGTATAGAAGAGAAGCATCGTGACACAGCAACACATTGCTTCTAGAAGCATTGCGCTCCACTAAAGCACTGGAAATTGGCTGAGGGGAAGCAATAGAGGGTCTCATAGTAGAGTGGTTTATTTTACAACTAGAACAGTAGGCGTAACACAACTGCTTTCAAATTCCAGCTTTAGGTTGCTTTACTCCCACTTCGATTTGAACATAAGCAATGCACACATCTTGAACTGACTTTTGGCAGGAGGTAGAATTTCAGCACTGAACCTGTGAGGGTTTTCAGCACAGCTCACTTTCTGGGGACAGCAGCACGTCTGTGGTTTTGTATTGCTGTTGTGCATGCTTATTCTGCTGGTACCTTAAAGAATGTCACAAAGTCCTGTTAGCAAATGCTGGGTTTTTTTTTTGTTGTTGTTGTTTGTTTCTGGGTTGTTTTTCTTTTTTGGCTGTGTTTTCATTTAGAAAAGTGATTGCACACAGCTGAGCTTTGATATGGAGCTTGTTATGATAAAAATGTGGAGAGACTGACGAGTGGACGTTCTCTGGCTCTCAAAGGGATCAGAGTGACACTGCAAATATACAGCTGTGATGGCAGTGATGAGATGTACTCCTCTTTCTCTATAACAATAAAAATACAAGATGCGTTGCACTGTTTGGTGTGCTTTGTTACTTATTTGTAACTTAAGATGTTCATGCATATATCTGCATATCTGCTCTTTAATTAGTTGGAAAATTCTTAGAGGGAAAAGTGCTATTTTGAATAAGAAAATCAAGAAATCTTGTATCTGAGCTAAATTTATGAATGTACTCCTATTTGTTGAAGTATAAAATCGAACTCAATCTTATTTGAAATTAAATATACTGCAAAGATATTTAGAACTTTTCTAAAGTCTCCATACTCTGAACTTGATAGCTGTGATAAAGCTCCTTGTAATTAGCAAGGTAGCACTAACTAAAAATTGAGCTACATAGCTTTAATTTATTATTGCTTATGAAGTTAATGTACTAGAAGAAACTATATTTTACAAAAGGTTTTAATTGCAGGAGGTCTTAAAGCAGAAAGTCTTTTTTGCTACACAGCACTCAAAGCACCATTTTGCTGTGGATTTGAATCCACAATTTGATCCAATTGATTTTATCCAATTTGATAAAATTTGTGACCTTTTGAAATCAAGCCGCGTCTTTTCTTTTGGTGCAGTGCTGCTGCAGATAGCCTTGGGCACAGTGCATTTGTACACAACGGAGTGGAAGTGGCAGGCTGTAAAGATGCACAGTTAAGTTCTCAGTAGAAAAGAACTGATACAATTGTGCTAGCGGGGTGCTTCCTCTGGGTAGGCAAGATGTTGGCTAAATCCTGGTGGTGCATCTCCACAGCTTCTTGTGCCTACCCTCGTGCAGGACCTTGCACTCGGCCTTATTGAACTTCATGAGGTTGGCATGGGCCCACCTCTCAAGTCTGTCCAGGTCCCTCTGGACATCCCTGCCCTCTAGCGTGTCAACTGCACCTCTCAGCTTGGTGTCATCTGCAAACTTGCTGAGGGTGCACTCGATCCCACTGTCCGTGTTACCTACAGAAATGTTAAATAACACCAGTCCCAGCAGCAATCCCTGTGGAACAGCACTCGTCATCGGCCTCCACTTGGAGACCTCCTTCCAGGGAGATGTAGAGAGTGATAAAGTCTCCCCTGAGCCTCCTCTTCTCCAGACTGCGCAATCCCTGGTCCCTCAGCCACTCTTCATGAGAACGCCATTTGAATTTTCCAAGCTTTCCAGAAGCTGCTTTTGAGACCTGTACAATGTAATGCGGATGGAGGAAGTGGTTGTGAGCAACCCCTGTGCTCCTCAGCTGAAGCTGCTCAGAACGTAGCAAGTGTCAGGGAGGCTTAGTGCTGTGCCTGTTCCCACAGAAAATGCAACACTGTTCACATCTTTTACAAATTAGTACTTGCCAATCTGAAAATTAAGGGAAGTGAATTTGTAAGTGCTTTTACCAGTCAAGGAGAAAGGTAGTGGCCATGTATGGTATTGGTGGCAAATGTTAACTAGAGTTGGAAAAATAGTAACAATTGCAAATATATACATGTATATGTGAAATATATTTACTGTCATTTTTGCTCCACTAGAAAGACCTTTGGTCAAACCTAATGTGAGCAAACTTATATTCTTATGTTATCCACATATATACCCTGACAAAAACGGAAGATATGAACTTTCTTCCCTTAACTCCAGAGTAGGAATGAGAAACATAAAGAGATTGTGAGAAAACCACTTAATCATTCTCATCGTTCCTGGAGAGCCTGAAGCAGCTCGTAAACTTTTAGCACATGTAGGACAGGAGGTATCTGTACAAAGCAGGAAGACAAGGAACCAAGCTCTTCCTTTGGGGGTCCCTGTACCCACAGTCCATTCAGAGCCCAAGTGCTTCAGACCTGTCTCACCTGCTCCACCTCTGAGGTGAGTGGCAAAAGGGAGATAATTGGATCCCTGAAATATGCAGGGCTAGCTGGCTGCTGAGCTCAAAGGTGTTGGAAAGGAAAGGCAAAAAGAAAAGGATTGGGTACAGCACAGCCATTTGTGATGGAGCTTTATACTGAGGGAAACCCAAGCAGCTTCCCGCTCTGTGTGTAAGCACAGCACTGTTCCTAGTATATAAAAAAGAATTACCATAAACGATGATGTTTGTTAATATCCATTAATAAAGCTCCAGTTCACTACATCCATTACGATGTTTTCCATGCAGTAGCTCTTTCTTAGCAGAAATATCCCTGGTAAAGTGTGGATTTTTGTTCAGACTGGCTTGTGTGAATGCTTTCTTTGAACTCCATATGTTTCTGTTTATTCTGCGATCATTTTCAGAGCTGTTCTCTCAACACTGTGGCCCAAATTCTTCACTTGCACTCCCACGTGGGATTCTTCACGAACTCACTAGAAAGCACAAAAGGTGACTCAGGCCTATTTCACACTAACACAGTGCTATGTTTACTCAGTGTATTTGTTCTGATGTAACTGCTGTTTAGATTTCATACGATCCCCTTGCTGTATTGTAAAAGATTTTCCTGGGGAAAGCAGAGCTCCTGTGCCCTGTCCCTACATCAGCAGGCTCAGTGTTAAAGAATTTAGATCCTACATTATTGTATTTCTCAAGCTGATCAAGAGCTGGCTTCAAGATGAAATGTTACCTGTTGTTTAAGAACTGACAGTGTGAAATAACAAATTGATGATGTGAAATAACATACAGAAGTCTAGCATTTGTGCAGAAAGTATTCCATCATCTGCTAAGCATGAAAGTACAAAAGATAGATACCATCGGCAGCAGTGGATACCGAGAATGGATGTTTCTTCCTAGCTCTTGATACAGCAGCTTGCTTGTAGTATTCCATACATTATAGATGGAATCAGGGCGACAGGCTCTTGTTTTATTAGATTTCATTCCATATTAATAAAACAAGAAACTGAGGTAAAACTATAAATCCATACATTGTGTGTAAAACCGTATTAGTCAGATTCTAACAAGCCTATCTTTTCCAATATTTAATTCTTTTTTTCAAGTTGCATGAGAGACTGTGCCTGCATCTTGCGACTCAGGTGTGTGTGGGTGTCAGACTAAAACACATAAAGCCTACATGGGTGTGGTGTAGGTCCAAAGAATTGAGAAGCCAGCAATGTTTGAGCTCTGATGTGCTCAGAGACCAGATTCAGTACAAGTCTCAAAATAAGCTTTTGTAACAAGACTGCTGTACGTTGCCTGCAGTGGAACAAGTATTCGATGCCCAATAATGCACTGAATAATTGTGAATCTCCAGAATATTTCATTACTATGCAAAAAAAAAAAAAAAAAAAAAAAAAAAGGCAAACAAAACAAACCCAACATCAACAAGAAAACAGTTGCAAAATGTAACACATTCTTTATTGCAAATAATTAGTTGTTTCCCATACATACAGTTATATAGCTGAAACAATTTTATTGCAATAAGTTTGAATTAGTCATATTTAAACAGTTATTGAGAGGATCTGGACTTGGGAGTAAATGAAGACTCAATGGACTTAATGGGCATTGGACCTTGGCCAGCTCTCTAAGAACAAGCGCAAACATGCAACTCTTGAGAAAAAAATCACTAGTAGCTACTGGCTGGGAAGATAAACACAGTAAACTTGGGAAAAAATGCTTCTTGTTGCTTTCCCTTTTACTTGAGGTCTGATTTATACCTTGTCCATTTAAAATTTTCATTGTACCTGGCACAAGAGAAAGGCTTTGTATTGCCTCCTCAAGGTTAGTTTCCATTTAGAACTGATGTTCATTCATGAAAGGCCACCAGATACCTTCCATACACCAGCAGGCATTTTATTATCATGTTTGGAGTCTGGAATAAGCTCTTGTGAGGCTTTCCAGGCATGGCTGACAAACACCTGCATACACTACTCAATCACTGCCAAACTGGAGAGCATCCAGCAGCTTCTGCCTGGGT